AGAGAGAGAGAGAGAGAGAGAGAGAGAGAGAGAGAGAGAGAGAGAGAGAGAGAGAGAGATTACACAAAAACCCAACAGGTTTTAATGTGGTTTTCTGCCGGTGATTTCAATTTTGCGTCGTACGTTTTGACCGCCAACGTTTCGGGTCTGTTGTTCTATGGATGTATGCGCGAGGATAAGTCTGTGGATACTTAAATGCGATAAAGTTGTGGGTTTTTGGATCCATAAGGAGAATGTAAAAACTTATGACTCACACTCGAGAAGAATGTCGCGCCCGTATGACTCAGGTTGCAGGCACATTCGGTGCGCTAGTTGTCGGATTGGACTCACGTTTGAGGCGGGTACACCCCCCTTATCTGTCTGCCTGTCTCTGTCTCCGTCTCTGTCCCTGTCTCTCTCTCTCCTTGTGTCCCATCGTTCTCGTGCGCCAGGTTGTTTTTTTTTCGTCCGTTGTTTTTGCGAGTAGCAATTACCATCCTCTACCTTTGGTTTCTTTCGCTTTTGGTTCTAACACCATCAACACCAAAGTCCGGTCGTCTCTCTCTCTCTCTCTCTCTGGTACAAGTCGTTGTGCGAGTGTTTGGCACAAGCTCAGGCCGATTTGTTTTGTTCATGTGCCATAATCAAATCCCCAACAAAAACAACAACTTCGAACGAATGAATTGACCAGGCGCTGATGGTGGTCCGGAGCGCCCTGGCTAACGGCATGGACTGGCAGGACCTGGAGGATCTGGTCAAGGCCGAGACAGCCAACGGCAACCCCATAGCCTCCCTCATCCACGAGCTGCGGCTCGATCGAAACCAGGCGAGCGTTGCATGCCTTTTTGATGAACATGCGGCACGCTGTATTCGTCTGCTCCAGCGTTGTTTTCGCGAGAGTGGAGGGGTGGAGGGAGGGGCACAGGCAAGGAAACAAGCGTGCGTAGGATGATTGAATCTTGTATGTATGTATGTTTGTTTTGTTTGTTTGTTTTTCTCCCATCATTGGACTCTGTCGTCTGCCCCTCTGGCCCCTATCCTCCACTTCTACTAGCTAGACGACCCAACCGGGGTCACATAGGAGGGCGGGGTTGGACCCCCTCCTGCGGTTCATGCCTGAGGTATTTTTATCGCGAGAAGGGTACAGCAACCCCTTCCCTCGCGACTTACGAAGTCGATTATGGTTTACTAACAAACGAGCTTTGCAGCGCGTCGCTTTCATCCTAGACCAGGATTTATTTAGGGAGAAAAACTCTCACTCTGCCGGGACTCGAACCCATTACCTGGCCCTTAGCAGGCTGCGAGGCTACCCACTAGACCACCGGGGCGACCGGTATATGTGTATGTGTGAATGTATGTATGCATGCATGTATATATGTATGAATGTATGTGTGTATGTTTGTGTGTATGTATGCCTGTATGTATGTATGTATGTATGTATGTGTGTACGTATGTATGCAAATGTGGCATTGGTGAGGGAGAGGGCGAGGGAACCTGTTGGAGAAACATGCGAGATTCTTTTCTGTGAAATGAGATGCCTTTACCCACGGTTGCCCGACGATGAGTACGAATACCGGCTCGTGCATCCCGACAGCAACGACACCAAGTCCTTCTGCATCGCACGTGTCCTCACCCCGTCCTTTCGCCGTCGGCCCCCTTTTCGTGTCGATTCTCTGTCATTTTTTTCGCCCCCGCGCAGGTCGTTCTGTCCCTCCCTAGTGCTGAGGATGGCGAGGACGACCAGCTGGTGGAGGTGGACATCATGCTCTCGGCCCACGCTAACGCCCGCGTCATGTACGAGAACAAGAAGCTCGCCAGGGCGAAGGAGCTCAAGACTCTCACGGTGTGTGGTTGCGATCTCACGCTCGAGCGGTGTGCGCGTTGGCTCTTGTAACCGTAGGTCATGCGTCGTCGTCACATCCCCCACAAGTAGGTGGACTGCTACGGGTAGTGTGACGCAGGCGGTGCTGGTGAGAACTCGACCTAATTCGAGTCACGATACCTTCGATTTTTGCAGTCATCCAACCCGCCTAAGCGATAGTGTTCGGTCTCCCTCGCTCGTCCCAAGCTTGAGTTGCGAGTGGAAGGGGGGGGGGGGGTACTCATAGTCGTGCATGCCGTAGTCGCTAGACCATTGACCTCGCATCCCTACAAAGCCGGGACGGAGCACGCCGGGTTCTCACCGGACCAGGCTCTCACATCACCAAGCGCGAAGCGCCGTGAGATATTCGGCGAGTCGCATGAAGGGTGCGCTGCATCCTGCTAAGGGTGTTCGGCATCTTGTGCTTACTTCCTTGCGTACGGATGACAGCTGCGTATGAATTAATTTATTTTCTGGTGCTTTCACTTCCAGAGACAGTTGTAAGCACTGTGTAACTGCCTCGAGGGTGCTTGACCATTTTAACACAACGTGGTGCGATCATCCCCCTTGCGCGGAGTGAGGCTTCTCCACCCCGCACAACATGATCTACTCGACCACCATGATCGTNTCAAACATCTCCCTGTACGGTCCATCTATTTTTCCCAGCTCAGTCACGTAAACCTCCCTCTCCTTCTTGTACAACGGACATTCCGCGACTACATGAACACGGTCTTCGCATTCGAAGCCGCAATCACATTTGAACTCGTCGTCTTCCTCGTCTACCGTCCTATGTCTTCGTCGACGTTCTCGAAGGCCTATGTCCCCGGTCCTGAATTTGACCTTAAGCTTTGTTCCTGCATCCATTGGTCCATGTAGGTAGTCCTTGAACCCTATNAACATCTCCCTGTACGGTCCATCTATTTTTCCCAGCTCAGTCACGTAAACCTCCCTCTCCTTGTACAACGGACATTCCGCGACTACATGAACACGGTCTTTGCATTCGAAGCCGCAATCACATTTGAACTCGAAGTCTTCCTCGTCTACCTTCCTATGTCTTCGTCGACGTTCTCGAAGGCCTATGTCCCCGGTCCTGAATTTGACCTTAAGCTTTGT